ATACTTATTTATATTTATGTATGTATGTATGTATGTATGTATGTATGTATGTATGTATGTATATATAGATATAGATATATATATATATATATATATATAACATTCGTTGATCTCTTCCAATGTATATATACTGGTATGTAGACGTCTCTATAAAGATGTGTGTGTAAAATTATACTGAAACAACCCCGATGAGTGAAATATAATCCCTGCGTTTATGCTTACTGTACCTCTTGATTGTATGGTCATACATCAATATGCGGGCTCACCATAGTTGTGATTTATATTATATTGATTTACATGTCACCGTGTCAACCATTTAAAAGCCCATAGCTACGCTGGAGTCTAGTACTGATATTTGAAACATACATGCAGATTGTATAGTATGTGAGAAACTAAGTGATACATGTACATGGCACCTGCCTCGCTGCCCACTAAGCAATACTTGATTAGAAGGGTTTCATACGCAGCATGATACTACCACTGCACACACAAACAATTCCGCACCCAAACACTTATACAGACTACAATCGCTCACCATCTTGAGGTGTGGTTGTGTGTGCGTGCTTGCTTCCGATACGATGCAGGTTAGTAACAAGTGATTGTGTGCACGATCATAACAAGGCTTGGAGCTTAATATATATAAAGCACTTTGTATACATTATACATATAGGAACAAATCAATATTTACACAAAGGTCCAAGGAGCACCAAAGTTTTGGTTCTATAACTTGAACTATGCTATGGCAGTTCGGTATTTTCTTGGCTATATTCTGTACAATACATAAATATATTTGTTTTTTTTTGTTTGTTAAAAATATTCATAGCCGTAAGCCGACTCTGAGTCTGGACTCTGGCCTCTGAGGCCTGGGCCATATAAACTCTGCAGTGTACTTATGTATGTATTTGTTTTTCTGAGTGTATGTTTGTGGTGTATTTAAACAGTATATATATATATTTTTTAGAATATAAAAACAATTATAAATATTTGCCCCAGAGAAGTCAGAGAGGGATGTCTTCAAAGATATGATTCTCATTTACGCCAATCAAATCATGTATACCAGAAAAGGTATTTATATATGTACTCTGTTCGGCCTTAACATCAAATATATCCAACATATAAAATATATCATATTTTAAATATGTATTCAGTCACTTGTTATATGTGCATGCAGTGGTGCAATGCCACCTATTACAGATGTATGTTAGTTATATGGGCTGTACTTATTACAGATGTATGTTAGTTATATGGGGTTTATGGTCATAAGAAAATCCGTGAATTACCATTGTGAACCACCACACACAATAGACACACTCTCTCTCTCCAAATCGCATACGTGTGTGTGTACAAACATGCACCATACCCCACCCGTGTGCTCATAGTTCTACAACACTGTGTGCGTAAGTAAGTTTAGACACTATGGGAGACAACGCAGCACGGACTATGTCCGACAACCTCATGCCCATCATAATCACTACGCCAGCCACTACCAACGATTCAGAGACTGCATCCACCTCCGAAGGTGATGAGGCTACTTTCACACAGGGACACAATGATCTCACAGCCATATCACCCAAATGCGACAACAAGGTAACATCACCGAACGATAGTACAAGCAGCAATGTGGGTGGGGCGGAGGTCAAAGGAAGTGATGCTACCAAGCACAGGCTGCACATGCTCAAGGCAGATAACACGCAGATGGCTGTGCACGCAGCCAGTTTACCAGAGGGATTGGCTGGCCATAGCCTGGATACAACAATACCCGACGGGTGAGTTATACACATACGCCGAGGTAGAAGGGTTGCTTAGCGTGTGTGTTTCTATAGTTAGAATGAGGGTATGGCAATGCCTGCGGGGTTCTGGTGTAGGCGATACCAGATTGTAGAATACTTTTTTCATGTGCGATATTTCATATAGTGTGGATAGTTACAGTATTTCTATTC